GCTCTTGCATCAACTTTCGTCTATCATGGCCGGCGAAGTGTATTCAGACAAGTCAAATCGGGAAGGATACAGTTTTCTCGCCTGGCATTGTTCGTACTACAACCGGTATTCAGAGAAGGTACCCTTGATTTCCTTCTCAATCGACCTTCGGTGGCTAATACTTCCCAAGGGTCATGACGCGCCGAAAAATGTTCACCCGTATTTCGTGCACAAAAACGGCAAAGGGCGAACCAACCATACCCAACGAGCGCCCTACGTATCTAAAGAAGTTGAAGAGAATCCTGAAGAAGCGGCAATGCTTGCTGAGATGATTCATCTCATAACGATTATTGTTGAGCACCACGTATTTTTTCCATCTTCCTTTTGAAGAAGCAACAGCTAAAGGCTGTCTAGGTTAAGCAGTTTATGCCGGACGAGTACGAGGAACTCAAGATATTTGTAACCAAACTTCCCCTCAACGAAAGGAGTCTGGCCTATCCCTTCGGCGGATTTGTGATCAATGTTAGCGTTTCAACTCGAGGGCACAGGGACCGGTTTGACAAGCTCTTTTGCGTCGTTATTCCTTTCGGGGAATGGACTGGCGGGGAGCTCTGTCTTTATGAACCTGGGTTTGTTTTCAAGCTTCGGCCCTGGGATATCATTATTTTCCCGTCCTGGGACCTCACCCACTTCAATCTGGACTTTGAAGGTGTGCGCTTATCTTTGGTGCTTCACTCGGACAAATACGGGGACCAATGGGTTCGGGATGGAAACGGATGGCTTCCAAACGGTGAAGGGGAATCTGGCGGCGTCGAAGTAACAGTACCCTTGCCTTAGATTTCTTTCAGCTCAATCGCGTACTGGGAACTTCAAATATATACAATTTGGCTTTTGGAGGGAGTACAAGAAATGGTACAGTGGGAGCGCCGTTATACTACACAAACATGGCCGTGGCATAAACGGCACAAGAAAACCTTCTTGCAGCTGCTGCACTGGTGCATCACGGGCCCGAAATCTGCTGTCGTCATGCCTTCGCCCGAAAACAACCGCAACATGAAATCCCTTTCAACAGCATTCGCGTGAATGGTCTCGAGGCCATTGACAGGATCTAAGGACGCTTAAGCAAGAGGTGAATATGATAGAGACGCAACACACCTTCGGCAGCCTCGTCAACGTCAGTCTCCGACCCCTCGGAACCTGCCTGCGTCTCTGCATTCTCCTCACCGGTCTCGGGTTTGGTCTGTGTGGCCGCATTGGAGAGACTACGTTGAGGAAGACGCCCTAGGTTTCGGTCAGCCCCCTGGAACATAATGGGAAAGGGATAGCGCACAATGAAGGGGTCCAGGTCTACCATGAAGCGTGAAAGTTTCAAATATATGAATCTTCCTCCTAATGTGTTGCTGGGTTCCAGCATCGAAGTCTCCGAAATAGCCACGCAGCGAGAGAGGCCCGCCGGGGTTGTCCGGGGAGCGGGTAGTGTCAAGGAGGAAGCTCTGGAAGAGCGGACGGGTGTAAGGGAAAGAGGACAGGAGAGGAGTCGTGTATTCATGGGTAAAGCTCGTGAGTTGATAGATGGCGTTGAGGGATACTATTAAGCTGGTGAGTCCCTTGCTTGAGACAATAAGTGGATGACTGACCGAAGAATGAACAACGGGAGGGAGCGTAATGGCAATAGGCATAGCAAGCACCTCCCTCCACAAGGATGCGGCTGGAGAGAGGGCCGTTGTTGATGCGACTACAAAAACACGGCCAATGGATGCCTTCAGCTTCAACGAGTTCCACCAGCTCAATTGGGGTCAATAATACGCCATTTTGGGTCGGCCTGAGGAAGGAATTGAATGATGAGAGAGAAGGCACTGGACGAGCACGAGTTACAGACCAAGGAAGCTGCATGAGACCGCAGAGATCATAGCTATAGACGGTAAGATTGGTTTGCTGAGCTTGCTCTTGAGCGAGATGGGTGTCGAACAGCTGAACAGGGGGGAAAGACATATCTTGCACGGCCAGACTTTACGCTCATCTTTAAAAGAACAGCCCAAGAAGCAGCCTGGGAGAGGGCAGGGAACGTTGTCAGCCTCGAGGACGGTGGCGGGTTTCAGTTGGCATTGGTTCACCGGCGGAGCAGAAATTGGCGGTCGTGGCAGGAAGAAAAGCTATTCCCGAATTAGGAAATATGATGGCAAGAAAAATGTTATTCACATTGTAACAGTACAAGACGCAAAGCGTTAACAAGATAAAAAGCGTTAACAAGATAAGTATAAGAAAAAAAACAAATATGTTAGTTCTCTTCGTCCTCCTCCAGGTCTACAAGATCATTGCATGAACCCGTAACTGGATGCAAATGTGCTAGGTGGGCAGAGAACGTACGCACAAAACCGCAGCTCTGGCACTCTTGAATGGCTGTAGAAGCAAGGGCCCAGACGTCGATTGGCACTCCAAAACGGGAGTTCCACTCGAGGAGGGCCCCCCCCACTGGACTGTCCATGAACTCGCATGTCTTGCCTAGGCGCTTGCCCTCGGGTAGCTCCCGAAGGGAAAGATCGACGAACGTACGGTCCGGGGATGGGCGCGATTTAACTGAGATGGATTTGTAAATAAATGATAGATGAATAGAGTGGAAAGCGACGAAGAACATACCTGAAACAGGAGTGGGATTATTACCACACATACCGCCGACAATGTGAGCGTTATAAGCGTCCTCGGAATACATGCAAGCACAACCAGGGCAGGTAACGGAGTCATCGACAAGAACTTGCACTACGTCCGCCGTAATCCCCAAGGTCGAGTTGAGGGCTCGAAGGGAGCTGCCGATGGGTGTGTCGAGGAACTGAAGTTCTTGGAAGGTGCGGTCTAGGCAATGAGGGTAGACCTTGGTATCGTATGCTTCCAAGGGTCTGGGAGTCGCACATCCGGTTTTGGGGTACGCAGGGTGAGCGGATGGATGCGCTGAAAGTATTTAATATACTGGACAAAGAAAATCAGTACAGATTACGCACTCTCAAACGTTCCTTTGCGAATTCCATCCCAACACTCTCCTAGGATTTTGTTATCTGGGGAAAGGATGAGCAGGATGACTTGATGCTTTGTGGATGAAGCCTTACCAGAAGAAGCCCGTGCGCGGTACAAAGCGGGTCCGAAGTACGACCGGTGGGAGGGTGTTACCGGACTCGAGCCGTTGAGAGGATGTGGGAGTGGCCGAGTGCGAGGACCGTTGGCGGCATCCAGAACACTTGGTGAGACTCGTGGGTGAACAAGGAGTAAACGCTCGACCTCCAGCTCTGAAGCTGATGACCGAGTGCGTAGGAGTCTCTCCACTTCAGCTGGTGAAGATGAAGGAGTCGTTGTGCCATCGGAGTCTGGCAAGATTGGGTTAGAAAAATATCAACAGAAAAGAAAAGCAAAGGAAGACGAACCGTTAAAAAAGGAAGTCAAACCGTCAAAGGAGGATGAACCGTCAGAGGACGAGGAGTCGGTGATGTAGGTGCTGGGATGTGCTTTGGGGATAACGACTAGTATTACAATGAGAAACTGAAAAGACGAAGGGCGGGGGAAGCGTGAAACCTACCAACAAAGTCACACAAGTGGTCGCCGGCCTGGAAAAAATCTTGTTTTTTGTTGTTGTACGCCTTGTTAAGATGAAGCTTCATGGGCGCGTAGGGTTGGCCATGAGGATCAAGGTGAGGGCAGAACGGATACGAAAAGTTGGGGATGGAAGGGAAAGAAGCAGCTCCGACGAGCTGGGGTTTACTGCCGCCATTAATTGTACGCAAAGGCCTATAACAGCTCAATTCTCAAGGATAGAACGAGTGGATTGAGGGACAGGTACCTGGTGATAATCTCGACTCCAGATGCGGCATGGTCCCAGCTGGAGAGTATGCCGACAGAGTTATAAAAAGTGAATTGGTCGGCGGCTGCCTTGAGCAGTTTTTTGGTGGCTGGAGAAGACGCAGGAGGAGCGGGGAGAGAGGGCGATGCCAAGTATGAAGCGTAGGGATGGTATCGACGAGAGTGCTGCATGGTGAGGGGGGGAGGGGAAGGGAAGGGATGGAAAGGTTCGTCTTGAGATATTAAAGGTGCCTGCGCCTTTCATTTCTGCAGATCGCCGTGCCTTTGGAATCCGCCAAGTTCTTGAGATTGCACGCGAGGCCCAAAGGCGCGTCAGCCAAGTCGGCATTTTCCCCACAAGCTCTGCGTGTACACGTCAAGGGAAAATGTCCTCGAGTTACGGGAATGAAAGGGATTTATTCTCGTGACACTGTACTTCGGCCTCGAGGCAAAAGACTGGGAACTAGGTACAATGTTGGCAAAAATGATGCGCTGATCCTCCCAGTGCCGACGAGGTTCTTGCCACACAGGTGCACACACCGGGCAGGTTTTCCCGACACCCGGGACGACTTCTGGACCCTGCTCTGGACCGGAAGCTGCCATGCCGGCATCCATCATTAGAGGAAAGCACCCTCTACTCAGTTTTATCCGCTGGCACAATTTCTTGCGCATTTATGTCAGGAAGTGCGTGCAAAAATTGAGAATGAAATTGACTGTACTTACTCAAGAAGTTGAATCAACACACATCATCATCATTTTCCCATCAAGTGGGAAACAAGCGCGTCAGCTATACGAAGTAGACTATGTAATTCCACACAAGGTATCTTGTTCTCGCAGGGGCAGCCAGGACAACAAAAATATGAGTACTTAACCCAGCCCATGACCCTGCCCGGAATCGAACCGGGTTCCTCCGCTGCGAAAGGGTTTTTAATCTCACACAGGCAATATGAAGAGCGGATGCACACCATGTGCTTCGGGGTCTTGCTCCCCTGGTCTTATACCCTCAATGAGTGAGGATGAAAATTGAGAATAAAATTGATGAGGTTCGGGCACCTCGGACAAGTTCCATTCGACACGAATTTTCTTGGACTGAGGGTCCCCGGTTTGTTGATACCTAAGAAAATCCAGAGGAAACAGCATGGTTTCACACATTGAATTCAATCGACGGGAAAAAAATGCGTACCCATGAGTAACTATAATCCCGCCCGGAGTCGAACCGGGTCCCTCCGCTGCGATATTTGAACGACTCGGGAATACGAAGAGCGGATGCACACCATGTGCTGCAGGGTCTTATATCCTCTAGTCTCGTATCCACCGTGAGTGAGGATGAAACGCAAGTAAAAATGATGAGGGTCGGGCATCTCGGACAAGCTGAACCGCCACGAAAAAAGAGGTCGGCTAAGTATCAAACTATGACCCTGCCCGGAGTCGAACCGGGTCCTTCCGCTGCAATATCCTCACGCCATCACTCAGGGAGAGCGGATGCACGCCATGTGCTGCGGGGTCTTATCTCCAACATTTATGTAACTGCTATTCCAGGCTACATAGGCCCCGCAAAAAATAAGCTCTGGTCTTGTATCCTCCATTGACAGGTAATGATGACAGTTTAATGCATGAAATCCGAGAATAAAATTGACAGTGGGGCTCAGGCAGCTCTGGCAGACACGAATTTCCCGGGACCGCGCGGTGCCTCGTTGGCTTGCGTTGACACCAGAAGAAGAAAAAGATAGTTCAACTCAATTCGATGCAAATTCGATTTCAGCGCGCGCGGGCCCCTTGGTGTGCATGTGGCACTATACGTGGTACTGGCTATCATGGAGGGAGCGCGGCGGGGTGGGATAAGGGCGGGGGTGGGGTAGGGTGATAGTACAAGTTGCTAATGTGGGGTGTTTGTGGAAAAAGAACTGTCCACACCACTAATGACCCCGCCCGGAGTCGAACTGGGTTCCTCCCGCTGCGCAAGTTTCCGACTGATGCTTTATATGAAGAGCGGATGCACACCATGTGCTGCAGGGTTTTATATTCTCTGGTCGTGTATCCTCCGTGAATGAGGATGACAATTGGGGATAAAATTGATGAGGCTCGGGCACCTTGGGCAAGCTGAATCCGACTGAGTATTCGACCAGCGGTTCGTACCTCAGGATAACAAAATGATGATGACGATGGGAATCATTATGTATGACCCTACCCGGAGTCGAACGGGGTCCTTCCGCTGCAATATTTGAATGACTCGCGATACGGAGTGCACACCATGCGCTGCAGGGCTTTATATCCTCTGGTATGCAGCTCGGACAAGGTGAACCGACACGAATTTCCCTAGACCTCGTTCGTTTGCGTTGATACATAGAGGGTCCCACACGTCGAGTTCAATGCACGAAAAAAGTGTCGGTATACCGAATACCGTGCGCAAACAGAGAGCGGGTGCTCAGCAGGATCTTCATCCCTACATTCTGTTCCTTGCCTGATCCTGAACGGTGAGGCTGAACCCCGAGAATAAAATTGGCTGAGCTCGAGCACCTCAGACAAGTTGGATCGACGTGAGTCCTCGACCAGCGGGTCTTACCTGAGGATAAGAAAAAGGATGATGGGGATCTCATCATGACACCGCCCGGAGTCGAACCGGGTCCTTCCGCTGTAATATTCTAATGGTGTTCGCATACGGAGAGCGGATGCACGCCATGTGCCGCAGGGGCTTATATCCTCTGGTCTGGTATCCACCACAAGTGAGGGTGACAATTGGGAATAAAATTGGCTGAGCTCGGGCAGCTCAGACAAGTTGCATGGACGTGAGTCGACCAACGGCTCTCACCTAAGGATAAGAAAATGATGACGATGGGAGTTATTATATATGACCCTGCCCGGAGTCGAACCGGGTCTTCTGCTGCAATATTCTTGCACTCAAAGGGAGAGCGGATGCACACCGTGCGCTGCAGGGTCTCATATCCTCTGATCTTGTATCCACCATAAATGAGGCTGAAACCAAGAATAAAATTGATGGGGCTCGGGCACCTCTGAGTCCGGCAGATACGGATTTCCCGGGATCGCGCGGTCCCTGGTTGGCTTGCGTTGAACGGACACGAGAAGAAGAAAAAGGATGCTCTTACACATTGAATTCAATGGATGAAAAAAAAAGTGTACGTCGACACCCCGCCCGGAGTCGAACCGGGTCTTCGGCTGCAATGTTTGAACGCTGTTCACAGACGAATAGCGGATGCACGCCATGTGCCGCAGGACCTAACCTCCTCTGGTCTTATACCCCCAATGAGTGAGACTGAAACCCGAGAATAAAATTGAATGAGTTCGGGCACCTCGGATAAGTTGAACCGACAAAAATTTCCCTAGATCTTGTTCGTTTGCGTTGATACATAAGAGTTGGTCCCCCACGTCGATGTAATGCACGAAAAAGTGACAGTATACCTACCGTATTTGAACTCCCGTACGCAAACCCAGAGCGGATGCACACCACGTAGGTATGTGCCGCAGGATCTTCATCCCTAGATTCTGTTCCTTGGCTGATCATGGAGACCGAAGAATGAAAGTAATGCGGCTCGGGCACCTCGGGTAAGGTGAATCCGACGTGAGTGTTCGACCACTAGCAGCGGTTCTTCGGATTGATACCTAAGGATAAGAAAAAGGTTGACACTGGAAATAGTCATCGCTCTGCCCGGAGTCGAACCGGGTTCCTCCACTGCGCAAGGATTTTTCAACATACAAGTGTTATGAATGAGAGCGGATGCACACCATGTGCCGCAGGGCCTTATATCCTCTGGTCTTGAGGATGACAATTGGGAATAAAATTGATCAGGCTCGGTCCCGTGTTCGTTGGTACCTAAGAAGAGGAAACAGCATGCTCCCACACCTTGAGTTCAATCGACGGGCAAAAAAGGATACTAATCCCCCAACTGTGACCCCGCCCGGAGTCGAACCGGGTCCTTCCGCTGCAATATTCGAACGCGCAACGCAATTGGCTACGAAGAGCGGATGCACGCCGTGTGCTGCAGGGTCTTACTCCACAGAGTTTGTATCTGCTCTGAGATGACCGAGCGCTTTCAAGGTCAATTGGTTTGTCCAAACGCCAGAACGAGGAGAGCATCATCAATTACATGCCGAAGTTGAGGCGTTACTCATGCGGATCTCATGAGTTGTTCCGGTCCAGATTTCATTGAAGCGGGGGTAAAATCTCTCAGTTGAACGAGGACTGATTATCTGTAGGCTCGCGTTGTAGATATGTAGAGCGTGGAACCCACAGTTGGCCGCTGGAGCCTATGAATCCTGGTCAGAGAGGCTCGTGGAAATAAATTCAGACCTTCAAAACGATGCTTCTGATTGCCCTCCACGGATAACGCTCGCGAACTGGACTGGATATTTCCAAAGGTCTGTACGCTGTGGCATGGGATTGTCGGAAGCTCGCCCGGCCTGTAATTTGACATACGAGTTATGGGCAGGTATTTCTCTACGAATTGCGCCTCGGTAATACCTGTTGCGACGGCGGTCAAGGAACCACATGGTCACATACCACCGGAAGGGTCGATATGCTGACTTTTCTCTCACCTATGGTGAACTGCGCTCATCAGCCCGTCCTTCCCATTTGAGAGTCTTGACACTCGGACACAATTGGACGTCTGCTGACGGGGAAGTCGATTCACATCCATTCTGCTGAAGGAGAAAAGTGCGGCACGGAAAAAAGCTCCGGACAAGGCCCCGATATCGACGCGAGTGTGGGGATTGATGGGAGAGGACGGAGAGTGCTTGGATTTAGACATTACAAGACAACATTGGGGTTAAGAGGGTGGGCTGCGATGAGAAAGTGTCTTCCTCGTCTGACGTTCGGTGTAGAAAACCGCCAGATTGTCGCTCAAAATCAATTTGCCGTTTGTTATGCTTGTTCCGTATACTGCCGAGGAATGCGCAGTTCCTGTTGACTTCTCACCATCCTTTTGCCAGACTAATTCCTTTCTGGGCCTTCGTTGCAGGTTTTCAGTGGTGGTGGAGGCAAGAACGAAGCGAAGGATGGGATCAATAATCAATGATCAATTTGGTTTCTGCCTCCGTTCCAAACAACGCGCCTGCTCTCAGCCTGCATGTGCTCGAGAAGCTGCCCTTTACTCTCCGTGTAAGAATGCGCCATTTCCGCCGCATTCGCGCCTCACGCCTACTCACAGAGGCTTGCCACCGGGGCCTTGAATGGCTCACTCGAAAACCTGTACAAAATATGTGACCGAATTAACTTGCAGAGCACTCCTAGCGATCAAGCGCTCCTGTTCCTGCCGGTCTTCTACGCGACTTTAGATCCCTCGCGAATTCCAAACATCGACGACTCGGATCTATCCTTGATGCCCGACTCGATGCTCCTGGCTGGGAAGACCCTGGACGGCCTGTGCAAGCTTGGCGACCATGACATACCGTACGATATATTCCCCGACCTCTGGCCACGATACTGGAAGTGGACGCAAGCTTTTCACGCCTACATTGCGTCCTTGCCCCCGAGCCCACGCCGACCTGAGCCAAAGACCTTCTATTTTACGTTTATGGGCTTCATTGCGTCGTTCGAAAACAAGGGGTGCAGGGCAGTCGTCTCAGCGACCCCTGGGGCACGAAAACTCATAGCGGAGACATGGTCTTTCATCCTCAATGTCGACGAATCATCATCACTGCGCCGGTCGGGAGGAAAAGACGCGCTTCTGTGGATGAAACACTTGGCGGGCCTCTTCCTTCAGCATATCGATCTCTTGGCACCAAAGGCAGACACCAAGCTTTCACAACTCGACGCTAGCTATCTGGGCGCGCTGCACGGGTTAATCGCAGCCTTGGACAACACAGACCAGGAAGCGGATCGACTCACGGCTCGACCCTATCCGCTTAGTGAAGCAGTCCGTCGGCTGGGAACTCCCCAGCTCACAACCGCTGCCTGCGCGTTTGCCCAGGCCACCGTTTCCGCTGCCGGTCCACCCCTAAAGGACACCTTTAAGCTCCTCGGCCCGGGAGCCTACGACGGCCTCGGTGCTCACTTCTATCTTGCGACCTCCGTTCGAAGCGGGCTCCTCTTTTCCTTGGTTGCGAGCCCTGAGTGTGTGTTCGCCGACGACATCTTTCGTTCTGCAAATTTCCTCCTCGATAGCGTACCGCTTTTGCGAAAACGCCGTTTTCTCGCGTCTGGCGCAGATTTGCACAGATGGTGGCGGAGCGCCGTTGGCTGCTCGAGGAGATAGATTCTGATGACCCCGTTGTGTTCAAGACATGCGACAACATCAAAGTAGGTATTTAGCCACATCGTCCTTGTCGTGTCTTAT